AACCGTCAAAAGTTGGCAATGACCCCCCTCCCATCCACAAAAACCAAAACAAAGCACCGCCATTTTTGGGTCCTAAGCCTCTCCATGGGGCCCAGTGGCCATTCTCTCTCAATATAGGTACTCTAATAGCGAGAGGATAGACAGATGTGAAACTCCGAAAATTCATCAGGCCTTCACCGATGCCTCCGCGAATAAAGTTAGGGCCCAGAAATGCAGCCAACCTATGAATTTCAAATGTCCAGAGCGATTTACAAATACAATTGTTACTAACCGTCGTTTATAAAGCATTGGATTGGCTTACTTTTTGCACAATTTTACTTATTTTTGGGAAAGAACGCTCATTTATGTACATTCTTGGCCATCTTGGTTAGAATTGAAATCTGTAGGCTGGCAGTGAAATTTCGTGTGTTAGAAGTTGCTCAGAAGGGTGGCTGCACTTTTGGGCCCTAAGCTCTCCATCAAGCGATCTGTCCATACTCTCGCTATAAAGGTACTCTAGTGCATGGTGTCTAGTCTTTTAAAAAACCGGGATTCATCGGGGAGTGAAAAGTTACCGGGAAAATCAGGGAATCTGTTCCAGAAACCGGGAATCTCTTCTCTATCCACCCAGAGATGATTTCGTTTTCAAATTTGGCAGTCTAATCTGACGTGTGCCATAGAAATGGCGGTAAGATTAATTAAAATCGATATTCATATCTGAAACTCTGGAAAATTGTATTCTTTTCCCCGAGAAAATCCCGGGAAAGTGGGAGAAAACTTCGGTTTCTCATCGAGGAATGAGCTCCTGAAAATCAGGGCAAAATCAGGGAAATAGCTTTTCCAAGAAAACTAGACACTATGCCTTAGTGCAACAATAGTTATCAGTCGCTTGCAGTATCAACATTATTGCCGATACTGCCGTGCTAAGGAAAAACGCCGTATGAACTTGTAGGCGTCGCCAAATTTCCTTAGGTAAATCACGAATTTTCGGGAAAATTTTTGAATATTTCCATCCAATTTTTCAGATAATTTTGTTCGCAATGTCACCTGAAGTTCTGGAAAATTTCAAGGAAAAATAGTCATAACTTATCTCAAAACTAATGTTTTATCGAAGAAAATTTGGCAACTTTCGAATGTTCATACGGCGTTCTTTCTTCGCACGGCAGAATAGTTATCAATTGGACGGAGTTAAACAGAAAGGAACCAAGCCACATCGGGATCGAACCGAGAAAAAGAGGCTTAAAGTTTAGCTCCTGCATAAGACTCAATGTGAAAGATAAACTTCAAGTTCAATTTCTGCAAAATTTGCTCCAACAAAAACTTTGAATTTTTGGCGATAGATAGTAGAGCAGTGGTTGAGTTCAAAACCACTTATAACTCAATTTTTTCCAAAATGTGGGTTGGTTCCTTTCTGCTTAACTCAGCCCAATTATCAATCAAATAATGTAATGAGGGCATTGCTATTAGTCCTACTCTATACACCTTGAGTTCCTCAAGTCACTTGAGTCAAGTGGCAGTGCATAGGGGGAAGTATTTTTCAAAAACTCATAATAAAAGAAAGAAATTAAAAGTAAATATGTATAAAATCTGCTTTTAAAATTCATTAGAGAGGAGGCAATTTTTGGACACTTTTTTATGTTAAATCTACGTAAAAAGACCGTAATTTTCCTAAGAGTAAGTATCTCAACAATTTTCCGCCCTTTAATTCCACTTTATTCTCCTTTATTCCGCTTTTCGTAGTCTTGCAAAAGAGTATGTGCAAAAAGCATGATATTTCTTCTATAAAGGTTAAAAGTTATCATTCTGGAATCTACAATTTTTCAATTTTTTTCTTCTTTTTGAGCAGTCGTCCCCATCGGGGGCTGTTGTATTTTACTCTCCGAAAATTCAATAATGAAAAATAAAATTGTTCTTTTTACCTGTATACACTGGAATAATTGAATTTTTCAGCAAATTTTTATATCAACGTTGTTGGCAATGAGTTTGCTCTCTCCCTTATAAATCGCAAAGCTGTGTCTTGCACACGTGAAAAAATCATGACAAATACCGCGAACTCAGCTCATTAGGCACTCTCAGATGAAGCAATACAATTTTTGTGTGCAAATTCTCCATTGTTGAACCTCTCTCTCCCTCTCCTTCCATGAGATAGTTCATGAAACTCGCACTTTGATTCACACAAAAATCGTGTACCAAATCGCCTCGCTGAGCCAATACGTAGTAAGGATATTAAAAGTGGCAGCGAGGACTAAGCGGATATTACTTCGTCACACCATGGGTGCCAATCTCTCTGGGAAAATGAGATTTTCGCATTTGAAACGTGATGTGTGCTACATTCCGATTTCGAGCCGTGGCAACACTGCGGTGGGAAGCTGCCGAAAATCGGCTGAGTTCCACGTCCGGATTTATTAAATAAGTTTCTCTTCCTCTCACCGCCACCGTCACATATCAGGGATGATATTTGGTAGAGCTGGGAGGGTAAGTGGAGGACACGCTGCTCGTTTTTCCGACTCGTTGGCAAAGATTTGTCGAGTGTTATATTGAGTGTTACCCTTTCCGAGCCGTCCAGGCTGCCGCGTTGGTCACGAACTTCTGGAAAAGCAGGAGAATATCTGGTACATAACGAGAATCACATCCTGGAATTTTTGAATAGTTCCGTCAGTTCGAAAAATTGAGTCAATGAGGTTGACAGGGTGGGTTTTGCGGCGTCAAATCCCCCAAAAGGCTCGTGTCCCCTCAGAACAGTTTGGCGGCATTTTGCAATACGGAACTACAATTTTAGCTCATCGTAGAAACAACATATGTGCCATCAGTTTCCTTATGTAGATAGGAGTTTTTATGTACAAGCCATGAATTACAGTTCCTTATTGCAAAATGCTGTCTAGTTATGACCGCCCATCATCATCAAAAGAGCTCTTAGCCCCCTTGCCGCCTTTCCCCACAAAAAATCTCTCCTTACGCTTATGCTTCGGTCAAAACAAAATTACTTGAAATTTGATCATGATATAGAACTCCAGTGGCAAGTAAAAAAAAATGTGTTCTAGTCTGAAAGGCTCCAACTTATTTACGTTCATCAAAAAATGAAAAAAAAAAAAAAATCAATACGTACGCTTTATTCTTTTCATTGGCCAGAATGGAAAGAGGGGCACTTCCGGTATAATCACTATTACTGAGAGGCCACCGGCGAAAGTCAGCAATACACTTTTACTTGTTTAAAAATTAAAAAATATCGTAAAAATTTATTGTGAAATCGGACGGGGAAAAAGATGAAAAAGTACAAAATGCATTGATAAAGAAACTAATCGAAGAAAGGACAGGGCGAAACTTGACGTATTTGTAACAGAGATTCTTCTACCTAGGCATTCAATGTTATTATTTTCTTTTTTGACATCATTTATGAGTTTAATCTTTCTTCTGTTGATGGCAGGTGCCAGTATTCACACAAGCAGAGGTTTTGGAGGGTACCGACCGCCATCGGGATACGACGCTCTCTCTAGTCTCAGGTTTCTCGGCCCTACCATCCAGATAGCAGCTCCTCTGACATGCCTTTGGCTCACTGCTTTTTCTATGAATATATTACTCTTAGTGCAATCTATTCTAACAGTCAAACAGCCCAAGTAAGTGCTCAGATTCTTCCTCGTGTGTAATATTTCCTGTGAGAATCAATCTTATTGTAAGTGAGGGAAAGAAAATTACCTTTTAAAATGAACCAAGCCAGGAGAATATTCCCCTGAAAGAGTAAATACGAAACTTATGTCTCATTGAATCTTCTTCGACATCAATGTTGATCCAAGCACCTGAATTCTAGAAACTCTAGTATTAAGGTGGCGTGATAATGTTGAGAAATTTCGAGATAGATCATTCTTCCCCGTCGAAATCCATAAATATCACCGTTAGTCGATCGCCGCTGACTGAAATCTGAATATGTCTTAAAATATTTGATCACTCACTCCAAATGGACGTATTTCTATCAAACGGAACTATGTGCATGAAGACATGAGCCCTGAGACCCATAAGAATACATGCATACCAGGGCTCACGTCATAATGCACATAGTTCCGTTTGACAGAAACGCGTCCAAATCATCGTCCTAAATTCCATGCTAACTCAAAAAATCTCGAGATGATCCGTATAAATTCGAAACAACCGCAAATTAAAACGTTTCCTCAGACTCCGTGCAATCGCAGCTTACTTCACGAAGGAGATGGACAGTGTAGCGCCTTCAAAATCGAATGTATGCAATTAGGTTAATCGCCGAGCTAATATAATTGCTTCCAGCAATGAGTTACACTCGCATCACATGACAGTTGTCCTTTGACACAAATTTCGAAAATAAACGAACGTCCTTGCTAATGGATAGTATTTCAAAAAATATTTACAAAGTTTCAGTTTTCTTGGTGCACCACGGCGCAAAGTCTAATTAGACGTATTTCTACCAAACAGACCTATGTGGAGGTGAGAAACATGGGGTGTGCTCGTGGAAGCTGCATAAGAAGCAATGTAAAAGTGGGCGTGATTCCTTTTGAAGAATTGGAAAAGCGAGATTTTACATTCTATCAAACAGACCTATGTGCCAACTGAATGCGGAACTCATGAGCCGCGGGCATGGCAAGAGAGCCTTGTGGACAGGGCTCATGAGTTAAAGCGTCCCGACGACGATGTCCCCGCCGCCGCGCTCCCGAGTTCACCCTCGGTCGTTGCCGCTGACGTCACTGGCGCTTTATTATTCTCATTCACTTTTACGGCCAGAGAACTAACGAGCACACCCCATATTTCTCACCTCCACATAGGTCTGTTTGGTAGAAATACGTCCAATTATAGATAGAACGACGAGAGAAACGACTATCAACTCATGAGCCCTGTCCACAAGGCTCTAGATACATGTCAGCGGCTCATGGGTGCCGCACTTAGTTGGCTCACAGTTCCGTTTGCTGAATTGGAGAAGCGGGATTACACGTTCTGTCAAACGGAACTATGTGCACGGTGTATGAGCCATGGGCATGTGACAAGAGTCTTGTGGACAGGGCTCATGAGTCAAAGACCGCCCCGATCGTCATTTCCCATCCATTCTAATAGCCCGAGAACGAACGAGCACACCCCATCTTTCCCTCCACACGTAGTTCCGTTTGATAGAAATACGTCCAAATGCTCTTAAAGTTAGTTCCACTGAAAACAAATTCTCGGCGTTTTTACCAAGGTCCGTTGGTACCTTTACTATCTCACTTTTCCTACCAATTATTGGAAATTTTACCAAGACAGACTGGTAAACTTACCTAAAAACCGGTATTTTTACTGTTTTTTCAGGTAAGAATACCACTTTTATTGGTAATCAATTCCCGGTAGGTAACTTTGCCATTTCATCTCGGTAATTATACCACAGTCGATAAAAAATATCGGCGTTTTTACCAAGGTCCAGTAAAATTACCGAGAAAGTTCGATCATTTTACCGAGATTTCTCGGTAAAATTACCAATTCCATAAATGGTAATTTCACCAAGAAAAAACTGGGATCAAATAGAACCCTGAATTCTTGGTAATTTTATCCTTTTGTTAGTAAATACACCTAGATTTTTTTTTCAGTGTTAAGCTAAAAATTGTGGATGGTTTTCAGCTCGAGCGAGACATCTCTGCTGCTCTCGGTGATCGAGATGACGCTGACCACTCTAACGTTGGCCACGGGGCTGGTGATCATGCGGATTGACTGCGTGCACGACCCCGACTGACCCGAGGCCATGGCGCCGGCCGGCGGCACCGACTTCACCGCCTCCGGCACCGGCGTCAGCATGATCGCAGTGCCTTCCACCTCCTCCGAGAAAACCACCCCCGCCCACTCACACTCCGCCCCCTGCCCTTCGGCCGCCTCCGCCGCCTCCACCTCCGGCAGCTAGAACTCCACCTGGGTCTGAACCACCCGCCCATCGCCTAATCATCACATTGCGTCTATTGCCCTGGATAGACGATCAAATTCCCGAACCAATTCCGATCAAAGTAGCATCAAAGTGTCGGGAGTCCTCAGTCTTAAACTCATTAATTTGCTTCATTTTAAAATGAAAACTTGGCAGAAATGTTTCCTGTGGCAGGAAATGATGAATGGTGGCACTCCATTCTGATCTTACTTTGAACAAATAAGTGCGGCCCGTCAAGATTTGATGTGGATGGTGACCATCAGCCATCAGCATGTCTACTTTGATCGGAACCGGTTCGGAATTTGACCGTCTATCCAGGGCTCAACTCCTTCGCTCCTTCCTCCAAGCTGAAACCTCATCTTGGTTAGAGTACCAATATAGCGAGAGTATAGACAGATGTGAAACTCCGAAGATCCATCGGGCCTTCACCAATGCCTCCGCGAATGAAGTTAGGGCCCAGAAATGCAGTCAACCTATGAATTTCAATCATCCAGAGCGATTTACTACACGGAGAAAAAAATTCGTGCCTGGGACCCGAAGTTTATAGGCCATATGGATCGCTGAAGTTTTCGGATTGAGCATCTAAACACTTTAGGTCCAGCTGCTGAGGTTTGGATCACACATCTGAAACTTCAGTTCTTACATCTGAAGTACTTTGGTTTTCACATCCGAAAAACTTCGGTTCTCACATCTGAAGTACTCCAGATGTAAGAACTGAAGTTTCAGATGTGTGATCCGAACCTCGACAGCTAGACCTAAAGTGTTCAGATGCTCAATCCGAAAACTTCAGAGATNCCCGCCCATCGCCTAATCATCACATTGCCTCCAACTCCTTCGCTCCTTCCTCCAAGCTGAAGCCTCATCTAGGTTAGAGTACCTATATAGCGAGAGTATAGACAGATGTGAAACTCCGAAGATCCATCGGGCCTTCACCGATGCCTCCGCGAATAAAGTTAAGCCGTGGATAGACGATCAAATTCCCGAACCAATTCCGATCAAAGTAGCATCGAAGTGTCGGGAGTCATCAGTCTTAAACTCATTAATTTGCTTCATTTTAAGATGAAAGCTTGGCAGAAATGTTTCCTGTGGCAGGAAATGATGAATGGTGGCACTCCATTCTGATCTTACTTTGAACAAACAAGTGCGACCCGTCAAAATTTGATGGTGGATAGTGACCATCAGTCATCAGCGTGTCTACTTTGATCGGAATTGGTTCGGAATTTGATCGTCTATCCAGGGCTCAACTCCTTCGCTCCTTCCTCCAAGCTGAAACCTCATCTGGATTAGAGTACCTATAAAGTGAGATGGACAGATGAGAAACTCCGAAGATCCATCGGGCCTTCTCCGATGCTTCCGCGAATGAAGTTAGAGCCCAGAAATGCAGTCAACCTATGAATTTCAATTATCCAGAGCGATTTACTACACGGAGAAAAAAAATTCGTGCCTGGGACCCGAAGTTTATAGGCCATATGTATCGCTGAAGTTTTCGGATTGAGCATCTAAACACTTTAGGTCCAGCTGCTGAGGTTTGGATCACAAATCTGAAACTCCAGTTGTTACATCTGAAGTACTTTGGTTTTCACATCCGAAAAACTTCGGTTCTCACATCTGAAGTACTCCAGATGTAAGAACTGAAGTTTCAGATGTGTGATCCGAACCTCGACAGCTAGACCTAAAGTGTTCAGATGCTCAATCCGAAAACTTCAGAGATCCATACGACCTAAACTTCGGGTCCCACGCACGAGGTTTTTTCTCCGTGTAATACAATTGTTACTAACCGTCGTTTAAAAAGCACGTATTCGACTTAGTTTTTGCATAAAACCCATTTTTGCGGAAGAACGCTCATTTATGCACATTCTCGGCCATTTTGGTTAGCATTAGAATCTGCAGACTGGCAGTGAAATTTTGTGTGTTAGAAGTTGGTTAGGAGGATGGCTGCACTTTTGGGCCCTAATCTCTCCATAAAGCGATCTGTCCATACCCTTGCTATACAGGTACTCTAAACCGGGTTGTAAGCCCATCACCAGTCTCAGCTCCTGCCTCAGGGCATTTTGTTCCTGCATCCATGGTAAAAGATCGGGGGAAAAACAATGGACATCGGCGTTGAAACTCCCAGACCACGTATCTTGTTTGCGCTATTCAAAAATCTTCAGCGCAGATACAAATAATTATTGAGCTCTGGGGAGGTTTGAGATCATTATTGATTTAGTAGGTAACGAAACAAGAAACGTTTATTTTTAATTTGTATTTAAGTCTCTGAATATTTGAACACTGGACGAATAATTTGTGTATATAAAAACTGGTGCATAATCACTGTTAATTCTAAAATTATAAAAACTGTAAATCGATTTTTATGTTTTTATCTGTCAGTTTTTTCTCCAGTTTAATCTTTTCTGCTGATGAAAGTCGTTTTAGTATACTTAATTTTTGGCAAATACACATTATGCAAGTCGTGTTTTTTTGTTACGTAACTTAATTACAGCTGCTTTATTTTTCAATTTATTTTCGTGCTTTAATTTTTCTTTGTCCTGTAAATATTTTTAAAGCAAGAATAGCCGAAACCAAGCTTCAACCACACAAGTTAAAATTTTGACGAGTTCATAATTCTAGCTTTTTCGATTATTACCTCTTTCGTCACAGTTTGAAGAATGGCGTGGCGTGCTTTGCAATATATCGATTGATCTATCATTTGAATCCATGGAAAAGAATCAATTATTAGGGTGCTCGCAGCGAACACTCTAATAATCGATTCTTTACCACAGCTCAAATGGGGAAATATCGATAATCGATCATTCACGCCTAGCCACTGTGTTTGAATCTGACCAGCCCATCTGCCTACTGATATGAGTGTTGTGAGCCTGAACCACAGTCAAACAGACGATTCACATGATCAAAGAAAAACCTATATAATTAAAATTTTGAGACTCGTCAACAGCGATTAATAAATCGCACAGCTTCAAAATAGTAACGTAGATACCCCAGTTAGGTTGCGATTTAGAATTGGAACCTTTCTCGGGAAACCAAATATTCGAATATGAATGCATGACTAGATTTCAGAGCAGGAAGAGCCATTATTACCGTCCCATTTTTCATGTGATGAGTTCAGAACCAACACCTCAAAGGTATAACGTTTAATCGAGCGCTTTACTATCACCTAGTTTAAATGTTCGGTCACACATAAATATAATGAGAGCGAATGAATTGATTCGTTCCTCCACAGCATAGCGGAGGATAGTAAGTACGTCAACTAGGTAGGAGCTGAACGACATGATCTGAAAAAGATGAAACAACCTTTAAACGGAAGAGTTCTCATCAAGAAGCATATCGATGGATTAGTGTGAAAAATGCGTATCTCAATTATCGCAACTCTCGAAAATCTCCGATTTGGGAAAATTTTGTTCGAGGGAAACTATCGTCCGTTTTCCTCAAAATTTTTTGCGAGTCTTATAAAATGACTGAAGAAAATTCATAAAAAATTTTAGTACAAATTGTTGGTTGGTTTTCTTTTAAAGGGAGTCATGAGTTTTAATCCGTATAATGTAAAATTTACTGATGCTAAGGTGCACTTTTTTAATCAAGCTCTACCAGACAGATTTCCAATGATTGTTTTGTTGGATTTCTTACTCTTTCTTCTTGCTGTAAAATGGAAGATTTTTGAAAATCAAAGAAATGAAATTTTCTTGATTTTTTGAAAAAAAAAACTGTGAACTTGTTTGTCGAAATTCCATCCAGTAGATTCTGAGCAATGCGTAACGTCAGGTAAAAAAAAGGTTGTTTTAAATGCTTGTTAAAGTTTTTCATTCACCTAAAATTGGCGCCGAAGGGCTACTTAGGGCTTATATTCATTACTCTAATTGGTGAAACAGTGATCAAACTTTTAGAAACTTGGTCTTGAATAACAGCTGAAGATTCGTAAAATTTGATTAGACAAAAAATTTAACCAAAAATGACTCGTGACTCTCGTTAAATTTTTGTTTTCAGCTTTTTCTTCTGCTGGGAATGAGCGAGTAATTTTGCCAAAACGTCCTGCCGGTGTTTTCGTTTTATTTCAGCTTTAAAGCCCTTTTTTCTGGATTTTCCGTATTCAATCGTTGATTTGAAATCCCACAACCCTTTTATTTCTACCCGCTTATTTATTTTAATCATAATATAAAAACTGCCGGATCGCTAATTCAAATCCTAACTTAAACACAGTTTAATATTGCGGTCAAAACTTTGAAAAAATATCAAGGGAAAGCGTGGAAATCAGGCGTGGAGGCTACTTCAATTTTACTCATCCGTCGTTCACACTTGTAAGGCGCAATGATACAACTATACGTACTTTCCGGAATGCGGGAGGTATCACGCCGCACTTGAAGGCGTTTTTTAAACTGCCAGTTTCGTGACCGAGATTGTCGTGCCGCTGGGAGTCAGGCGCACCAGAACGATGGAAAGATTGACCTTACGACCTAATTCAACAGTTCTGCGCTCATCTCCCTGTTTTAAAAAATAAAATTTGAGTGGAGACTTATAAAGTCACAATCTGAGGTGCGCCATCATGTCCGTCCTCCGTCTATTCGGTTGAATGCTGCCTTGCCAAAGGAAAAACGCTGTATGAACCTCCAAGAGTTGCCAAATTTCCTTTGATAAAACACGAATTTCCTGGTAAACCTATGAATATTTTCTTTCCAATTTTCAGATACTTTTGCTCACAATTTCACCTAAAATTCTTGAAAATGTCAAGGAAAAATATTAATGATTTTCCTCAAAAATGAACATTTATCGAAGAAAATCTGGCAACTCTCGAATGTTCATACGGCGTTCTTCCTTAGCACGACAGAATGCACCATACCACCGCGTCTTGATCCAGACACACGTGTATAAGACGTGAGAGCTGAGTTGGCTTTTTTAACAAACCCAGGAGGAGGAGGTTGTGATTTTCATCCGGCTCAAGATTCAAAACGAGAAGGGGAACTAGACTATGAGACTAGCGTTCACGCTCGCAGCGAGCGATTGCAATTGCGATTGTGACAGTTTACTTTCTCATAAACCCTGAAGTAAATTTAAAAATCACGGAGGTAATGGAGCACGCAATCGCGAGACGGCGCACAGTGGATCGAGTCAATTAGAGAAGTCGGTCATGAAATTTTTGACTAAAACTGCAAATTTTGATGTCTGTTTCGTCACAATTTAAATGTTAAAGGGTGTTTACAGAAGAAAATTTTACGAGGAAGCCAATGGAAGCTCTTTTAGAACCTCAAAGTATTGTCTAGGCGGAGTCATAAGCTCTTAAGGTTTTCAAATTATATCCGACCTCTCCTATTGACTCGATACACTGTGCAGCGATGCACAGTGGCATTCATACCGAAGCAGCAAGCGTCCAGGCGGCGTTACCAGGTGACACCGGAGTAACCGGAGACACGTAAAAAACAGCCCTTTTTTATTTGCTTAGTTCTCAGTGGCGTTTGCCGCGTAGACACCAAGAAAGCACAGCACATCTTCCCGAAAACAATACAAGAGCGACTTGTGCATCTCCGATCGTGACGTCATAAACCTCTGTTTTCATTTTCCAACATAAATCTAACCAGCAGTTTCCTTGGAATTTTCTTCACTTATTCAAAAATATTTCCATATAATTTCAAAGACTCTCTTTGGTTCGTTTTCTGTTGAAAATATAGATTTTTAGAAGTCGCGATTGACATAGACATGTAGATAAGGGGTTGGGCCGCGAAGCGGCCAGGCGGCATCGCCCCCTCCCTAGTAGACTATATTGTCTCTGAGGAAAAAGGCAATAGCCTCCTTGCACGTGTACCGCTTCAATTTGGCTGACTGAGCGGCATTTGATTTGAATAAGTATCGGCTGGAATGAAATAGGTGTGAGAGGTGCGTTTTATAGAAACACGGTGCAATGCGGTGGCGGGGCGTTTCGTATCTCGT